GCCACGAGGCACCTTCCTCTCTTCCTCTCCCGGTCGCAGGGCTGCTGGAGAGACCGCAGCCCAGCCTCGGCCGGCCGCAAAGTCCCTTACCTACAACAAGAGCCTCCCGACTGCAGCTGGACGCCGCCCGGCGGAGGATCCGGCTCTGGGCTCTCGCGGCAGGGGGCGAGGCCTCCGCACCCGGAGGCCTCTGGGAGTCGCGGTCCCGGCTCCCCCTGAAGCGGCCTCGCGGAAGTGAAGTGGAAGGAGAAGAACTACATCTCCCAGGAGGCTCCGCGGTTCGCCTCGGACGGGGCGAGACGAGGGCGTGGCTAGTGCCTGGGGGGCACACCTCTACCCCTCCACCCCCACCCCCCGAAACACAGAAAGCCTTCGGACTGTCACCAGCTTGCCCCCAAGCAGCCTTCTAGCAGCTCCGCGAGCTGGAAGCCACGGGAGTCCAGCCGAGAACCCCTGAAGCTCCGCTCCCTTGTTCCCAAATCCCTCCGGCTTCCCCAGCGAGCGAGACCGGCCAGATCTCCAATCCAGGTCGCTCGCCAAGGCCCGCGCCCATTACAGAGCTATAGGAGGGAGGGACCCCGGAGGCGGCCGGGCTGGCTCTGGTAGAGCCCTGAAGGCCGCTGCCAGGAGCCCCACGAGGAAGTGGGGAAGCGACTTAGCCCTGCTGCCCAAGTCCAGGTCCAAGATGAGATGAGGATCCCAGCACTCTATCAGTGCAAAGGTAACAACTGGAGACTGGATTTAGAAGTAGAGCTCATGGGGTGCCTGGGAGGCGCTGTCGGTTGGGTGCCAGACTCTTGGTTTAGGCTCAGGTCGTGATCTCATGTTGTGATCTCAGATGGTCGGATCAATCCCTTTGTGGAACTCTCAGTGGAGAATCAGCTTGGGACTTTCCCTCTTCCTCTGCCCCTCCCACTTGTGCTCTCTCAAATAAATACATAAATCTTTTTTAAAAAAGAAAAGTATAGCTCATGCACTGCATTGACTGGAGGTGAGATGACAGACAAAGAAAGAGTGTGGCTTCTATAGATTTTTGTGTCTAATCAGTGGGGAGCCATGAATGGGCAGCAAGTGGGCAGTGACAGTGGGAAGGGTGAGTCTGTGGCGCTTGGGCTGTGGTTTGTGATGCCCAGCAGATGTCGGAGTAGAGATTCTAAGCAGACAGGAGGACTCCACTAAGACAGAGAGGGGCTTTGGACCAAGGGCACATGATGGGACAAACCAAATGGACCAGGTGGAGTCTGGACAGGGGTGATGGGGAAGGACATAGAGTCTCAAGTGTGCATCTAGGAGAGGAGCATCTAGCAAAGGAGATTGGGGATGGCCTGTGACAACCCAGGATACTGGGTGTTTTTGACGTCAAGAGAAGAGAGAGTTTCAGGAAGGAGGGAGTGATAACCTATGAGGAGTGCTTTACTGGAAGAAGGGTAAGCCAGAAACTTAAGACAGGCCGGCTGGACTTTGAAACATGGCAGCCCCTGGAGATCTTTACCAGGGCGGGGTCAGTGGAGGGGAGGGAACAATGGCTTGACTGGAGGGGTGGGAGGGGGGGGGGAGAGGTGTGCAAATGGAGACACGTAGTGTAAACTGTGCTCATGAGGAATGTTGCTTTGGAACAGAGCAATGAAGCAGAGGCTAATGGGGTATGGCAAGTCTAGGGAGGTTTTATGTCCTCTTTCTCTAGATGGAGATGTTTCAGCTTCTTTGTAGAATGATGCAGAGGGGGATGCCTGGGGGGCTCAGTGGGTTAAGCCTCTGCCTTCGGCTCAGGTCACGATCTCGGGGTCCTGGGATTGAGCCCCACATCGGATTCTCTGCTCAGCGGGGAGCCTGCTTCCCTCCCCCCCACTTGTGATCTCTCTGTCAAATAAATAAATAAAATCTTAAAAAAAAAAAAATGATGCAGAGGGAGGGGAGATTAGTGATGCAGCAAAGTCACAGAGAGGTCAGAGGGGACCGAGTCCAATGCCTGCGTGGAAAGCCCACACCATACTGCACCATGATGGGAGGCAGGATGCCCGGGTAGAGGCCCACATGGGTATGCTTGGCAGAATAATGGTCCCCCAAAGGTGTCCACATCGTCATTCCCAGAACCTGTGAGTGTTCTGGGCAAGAGAGGTTTTGCAAATCTGATTGAGGATTAAGAACCTGGAAATAGGGCGCCTGGGTGGCTCAGTGGGTTAGGCCGCTGCCTTTGGCTCGGGTCATGATCTCAGGGTCCTGGGATCGAGTCCCGCATCGGGCTCTCTGCTCAGCAGGGAGCCTGCTTCCCTCTCTCTCTCTCTCTGCCTGCCTCTCTGTCTACTTGTGATCTCTCTCTGTCAAATAAATAAATAAAATTAAAAAAAAAAAAAAGAACCTGGAAATAAGGAGATTATCTTGGGTTATCCCAGTGGGCCCAGTATCATTATGAGGGTCCTTAAAAGTAGAAGGAAGAGGGAGGCACAGGGGTTAGAAGGAGACGTGACTATGGGAGGAGGGTGCAACAGATGCATTGTTGCTGGCTTTAAAGGTGGAGGAAGGGGGCCACCTGCCAAAGGATATGGGTGGCCTCGGAAACAGGGAAAGGAAAGGAAACAGATTCACTCTCAAGCCTCCAGGAGGGAGTGTAGCTGTTCTGAAAGCACTAGGCTCTCCTTTAGCCTTGTGAATCCTGTGTCAGACTTCTAACCTTCGGAAATGCAAGATGATCGGTTAGTGTTATTTCCAGCCACCAAGTTTGCAGCGATGTATGGTAACCACAGAAGACTAATACAGTGGACCAGGGGCCCGAAGTGGGAAGGAGGCACATCTCAGGGAAGGACGAAACAAGGCTACCAAAGTCAAGAGCAAGGCCTGTGAGGGAGAGTTGGGGGTTTCAGAGAGAGGAGGTGGTAGGAAATAGTTGTCTGACGGAGTGGGAAATTTGCAAAGAGCTTCAGAAGGAATGGTCTAAGGTGGTCTAGGTTGCAAAGAGGCAAGAAGGGCTGTCAGCCTGTAGAGGCTGATAGTGGTCACTGCTCTGGGAAGCACTTATGTGTCTGAGAAAAGAGGCTGCTCTTGAGGCTCGCAGTAGGAGCTGACTCAGTCATAGGTGGGGGGAGCGCAGGACCAGAGCTCTGGGTTAGGGGCTTCTGACCTCAGGAGGGTACTGGTCCCAGCGACATCTTGCCCCCCAGGTCAGCCTCCTGCACCTTGCATCCCAAGTCCTGGGTCCCCTTGGCCCTCTTCCAGGGTCTCTGGGAGAATGTGACAAGTGTGGGCATGAGAGGAAGGCACTGATGCTTCAGAACAGTTCCTGGAGGATGTCCCCTCCCCCACATGGCATCAGAAGGCATCACAGTTGCCTTTGGGTGCTGCTGGAAGCCACAGCCAACAGAGGTCTTGCATGGGCACCTACGCTCCATCTATGTCCTTGTGGACACACCCGACATCAGTCTGTCTGGGGCAGCTAAAAGCACCCCAGGAATAACATTTCCAATCCCTCTTGAACCCCACCTTATGGAGCTGCCTCCCCCAGCCCATCCCAAACTCTCCCCAGTTGCTAAAAATAAGTTGCATCTGGTTATAGCCTAGTGGCTGAAGTCTGAGACTGAACCACAGAGAAGCCAAGTTGAAACACCCCTGGTGGCCGGACTCGTGGTAGTGGTGGTAGGGGGCGTGTTGTCAAAGGATTGCTGGGAAAGATGTTCTTGAAGCAAAGGTGCCCAACCAGAGAGGAGACCCAGGTGTCAATCCTGAGTTGTCACATCACAGCCCTGGTCTGGGCATTGGCAACCCAAGCTGCTTTGGGGTCCTGGAGCAGGAGTGACCAGGCTGGGCTCTCTCTGGCAGTGGCTGCTGTCAGCTGACCCATGCTGTCTGCGGTTCCTGGCCCACCCCAGGAGGGAACTTCCCTCCACTCTTGCTGCCCATCCCATCCCCCTCCTCTCAAGGTTCTGACCTCTTGGGCCCACTTTGACCTCTAGTCCAAGCTGAGTAGAACCATGACAATTTCATTTCAAGCCATGAATGGGGCAGGTCTCCATGTCCCCGAACTCACTGGTACTGGGGGAAGATCCCTCTTTTGTCAGGAAGAGTGACCACCTCACATAAGTAGACTGCCATCTGCATCACACTCATGGATCCTAAAACAGGTCTTCGAAGGAAACTTCCAAACCACATGGCTAGGAAGTAGGCATTCATTTTATTCCTAGAAGCTCCTGAACTGGAGAATGGTGGGGAACAGGCTGTTCCCCTGCTACTTCATTGCTCTGGAGACAAACCCCATGACAATGGTGTCCCTGTCCAGGATGCACGCAGTTCCCAGGGAGGTGGGAGCGCTGTCCACTGTGAGACATGCCGCAGGTGTCTGCTCTCCACCACCACTGTGCTCATCATGGTGCTGACAAAGGGTAGGAGATTTTAGAAACATTTGCCAGCATCAAGTACAAGAAAAACACCCCTCCCTAGTTTAGTATCTACCCATTAGACCCATCAAGGAGATCACATCATTCAGTCTTACTCCAAAAGGGTAACTAACTCTCCAAAATGCTTTATTTCATAAAACTGGAACATTTGATGGTAACCCAATACACAGACTCAAGTGGTCTAGGGAGTTCTGCTTCTCTCTGGCAGGTGGAGGAAATGCCACAGAAAGCCTCTGCCTCCCCTGTGTCCTGACTCAAGTGGCAAGTTCAAGCTTCCGCTCAGGCCAGGGCTGTCAGGGTCTGAGGTGTCCCTCTGTCCCGTCACCAGTGCCCAGCACCAAGAAGGGCTTCAGCACCATTCCATTTACCTCTGCCCCCAGATCCACACAGTACCTGAGAAGGCTGGGACAGTGAAACCCTGGAGAACCCTAGTAGTTCGGTGAGATTCCTCCTGCCTGCAGCTCCCGCCCTCCACCCACTCCTGGGGGGCTGTGGGGTCCATAAGAAATACTTTCTTAAGAAACAGGGCTAGGGCTGGTCACCGGGACTGCCCTGCATCCCAGACACTGAAGGAAGAGAGCCGGCAGTCCTAAGAGCCAGCGGAGGGGGGCGGGGGGAGGGGTGGGGGGGGCAGCCCCACCACCTGTGGACCACAGGGAGGAGGGAACAGAGCAAGGGAAGGCCACACCCATCCTTGCAAAAGCCGGGGTGGTGTTAGTCACCAAGGCCTCCAGACGCTCTGGGCTATGCGGGCAGCGGTGAGGCTGCCCAGGGTTGCTGGCACCAACTCTGGCCCTTCAGCAGGAGCTCTGGTCAGTTCAGCCTCGGGGGCCTCCTCCAAGTCGGAGCACAGGTCGTCCCCGGGGCCTGGGGAACTGGGCATAGGGGATCCCAGGACCCCTCCTCCCGTGGGCCAGCCACTGCGCCCAGGGGCTCCCGGAGGCCCTGCCAGGGCGTCCCCCAGCAGATCCCGGAAGCTGCTGCCCTCGCGCAGAGGCATGGATTCAAGCAGGTGGTTCAGGAGTTCTGCGGCGACAGTGGCATCGATGGCCTGGCACGTGGACACGAACGTGTGCACCTCGTGCATGCACTGGATGTAGCCAGCCGCGAAGCGCTCGCTTGCTTCCGCCTGCAGCTGCTCGCGCTCTGCGCCCAGGAGTGGGAAGGAGAGAGCGGCGTCGGGTCCAGTGAGCCACCACTGCGGTGTCCAGGCCCGCCCAGCCCGCGGGGACAGGGCTCACCCAGGGGACCCGGAGGTCGCCCTCTCCGCCGACATTACAGGGGCCCGGGAGGGAGGTCCCCAGTCCGCGACCCGGGCCGGCTGGGCGAACGCGCCCCGCGCCCCGCCCGCGCGCCCCACCGCCACTCACCGCGCGCACGGCCCCGCAGCGTGCTCTGCACACGCCGCACCGTCAGCTCCAGCACCTCGGCGTTCTCCAGCTTGGCCTGCACCTGCGCCGGCGGGAGAGCCGGGGGGCGTGTGGAGGGTCGGTGAGGCCAGGCCGCGCCGCGAACCCCGCTCTCCGGCCCAGCGGCCCCTGGGCGCCCGCCTGCCCGCCTCACCTCGGCGCCCGCCAGCAGCAGTCGCAGCTCCTGGAGGCTCTCATTGATCCGCGCGCGCCGCTTCTTCTCCACCAGGGGCTTCCGGGCCTGCGGGAAGCGGGCGGCTGAGCCCCGGTCCCGGGTCTCCCGCCCGCTCGCCCCCTGCTCCCCTGCCCCCCTGAGGCCCCGGCCCGCACCTTGCGGTCCCCCCGGGTCTCCCAGCCGTCCTCACTCTTCCGGCTCGGACGGTCCCGGCCGGGGGCCAGGGCCTGAGCCATGGCCCGCACCTCCCAGAGCGCTGCGAGCGCGGCGAGCGCCCACGCCCCTCGCAGCGCCCAGCTGAGGCCGCGGCAATCCTCGCTCCTCCGCGGCTTCCGCCCGCCGCGGCCCCGCCCCTTTTATAGCATCTCATTTGCATTTCAATGCACGGATTGGCCGCGCGGGCCAGAGCCGCCGGCTTGGAGGCGTACCGCGACCAATGGGAGCGGCGCGCATTGTCGGGCTCCGCCGCCGAGGTCGGCAGGCAGCTGGTGGGGCGTGGTTGGCGGCCGCGGCCCCCATCCCGGGCCCCCCACAACCCCAGAGGCTTGGGGCACCTGAGGGGGCGGTGACCCGCAGGGCGGCGGTCAGGGCTGCTTCTGCCGCCCTCCCTACCTGAGCGAGGCCTCCAGGTCTGCTGTGCGTGGGAGCAGCATTCATGCAGTCACACTTGTCTTAGTTCCTGCAAGGTGCATCCCGAGAAGCGCGCTCCTGCGCGAGTGTCGGGGTGCTGGATTCTGTAGGACAGAGCCATAGACAAGGCCGCGGTCTGTGGACCTGGAAAGGTCTATGGGTCCGGCCCGGGATAGCTACGGAGTCCCGGCGAGTTGGGGGCCCATGGGGTAGCGGGGGTGGGAGCGGCCCCATAGCTCCCTTGAGTTTCTTGCGCATTTGTGGGTCCAGACACCGGACTCGATCCTCGACACCGCCCTCCACCCTCGCGGAGATCCTACCGGGGCGGGGCCCGCCGGCCCGCCGGCGCCGCCCCTCCTCCAGGCGCTCCTTCTCAGGTCACCCTTCCTCCGCCCGCCCCTTCTTCCCTAGTACCCCCCCCCCCCCCCCCCCCCCACCCCCCCCCCCCCCCCCCCGGCCGCCGCTGTACATCCCTGAACTCCTCCCCACCCTTCTCTGGTCCTCCTCCCCGCCCACTCTTCCCTGTTCTCCCAGCTCCCTGGCCGACCGTCCTTCCGTGGTCCCCACTCCTGTTCATTCACCCAGGCCAGTCTCCTTCGTCCCCCGTCCCCCGCCCCGTTCCCCCTCAGCTCCCTTTCCCTCCCAGCCCTCCCCTCAACAGACCGGCGTAGGCCGCCTTCTGGTCCCCGTAACTTGATGCCCATGACAGTTGGCAGCTGCAGCTGCTTCGGTGGAGAAAAGCGGGGCCGCGCCAAGAGCGACAGGTGTTGGCCGCGCCTTTGTCTAGGCCCGCTTTGTCCCGCGGCGGGTGGCGGGTGAGCTTGTGTCCGCCAGACGACCGCCACCCCCACCGAGGGCCGCCCATCTGCCAGAATGGCCTCCCTGCGGGTGGGGTGGGTGGGCCGTGGGGCCGCGCCCTTGGGCAGCACCCTGGGGACCGCCACCTGTTCCCTGCTCCACTGACCTATGTACACTTCCCAGTGCAGCAAAGCTGGAATGGCAAGATGGGCTCTGGCCACCAGCCCTTTGCACAGACTGAGCCTTCCACCTGGAACTTTCTTCAACACTCCTCCAAATATCTATTTCCTCACTGTTTAGGCCTCAGCTTCGCTACTCCTTTTCCTCTTTGGGGGGGGGGCACCTTCCCCACAGTCACGCTGCACCCTTACCCAGTCGCATACTATTTACCAGAGACTGGGTTGTCAGGGTCTGGTCTGCAGCCCTTGAGACTGTAAGCATCCCTTGTCAAGGGTACCCGGGACCTCCTATCTACAACCAGCACAGAGCCTGGCCTCAGCAGAAGCCTGGGTGGGTAGGGAAGGGGAGGGGTTGTCCCGAGCCTGGCTGGAGAGCAGTAGGGGAAGGAAACATCCAGGGACTACAGTGCAGTGGGTGGTAGGTATGGCCACAGATAGGCCCCACCCTAGTCACCTGAAGATGGATCTTATTCCCTGTGACTATTTCACTTTGGGCTCCCCACCAGAAGGACCTTTACAGACAGGGTGGGTTTGGTAAGAGGTTTGACATTTCCCAAAGTCTATCTAAAGATAGATAGACCTCTATCTATAACTAGCTGAGAGTTTCTGCTGATTTTCACCTCCCATCACCTCTTACCACTCAGCCTCTTATTTGCTTCTCTGTGAGCAGGCTTCTAAGATCTCCCCAGCCTAGCACTGCTCATCCAGGTAGAGAAACCTATTCCTTTACTTCAGTCATCCCCTGCTGTTCTCAATCTCCCCTGCATGCCAGAAAGCTCAGGTCTCTTCCTTCCCCCTCACCTGGCTGCTCAGAGACCCACCTGCTCTCCTCCCCTTACTCCTAGTGGTGGGTCTGACAGGGGAGGGAGCTCACTGTGGACCTCATGAGAGCCCGTAACTGGCCTGTGACTTTATTATTCTTTACCACTTCGACATCACTCCAGGGAAGGAGACCCTTAAGTAAGTACAATTAAGTTTCCACTACTTTGAGAATCTGAAATGTGAAAAACAAAACAAAACAAAACCAAACCTCAGTGATACTTCTTGTAGTCTGATGCATATGTCTCCCATTACCCATTATATTATTTGAACAAAGCCAAAGAGGTATTTTAGAATGCTCTCCATGAAAGGCAGTCCCTGTTGGAACAGGATGGTCAACACCCTGGGGGAGGCCTGTGGGAAAAGACCAATAGAGCACTTGATTGGATGGGGCATGGGTGTGGGGAGGAAGGCCTGATAAATGTGAATAGTACAAGCTAAAAATGAGAGGCAACTAGGAACTCCAGGAAAAACAAAAAGCTCCCCCAAAGAGAAATGTAATCTCAGCACACTGGCTGACCTAGGAGTTAACAATTCTTTCACTGTCACAACAATATAACACTGTTCATGAGGTTTCAACATTTATAATCAATCTATAGAGAAGGTAAGGAAGACTTATAATTATGGTTACGGAACATGATATAAAGTTGACTATGTAAAAACAAAAGAAGAGATGACAGTTGTCAGGAGAAGGGAGGAGTCTGAAGCGAGAGATAGGAACCTCAAGAGTCTTACATGGGAAGGTGGGGTTTGAGGAATGCTTTCTATAGAGTTGAAGGAAGGAGAAATTAAGTGCTGGGATATGCCTCATTGTGACCAAGAACCCTGAGGAAAAAAAAAGCATAAGGATAGAACAAGGTATTAGGAGTCAATAAGATGTTTGGCTGGACCAGAAGTTCCCCAATGACCCATCTTTGAAGTTCACCTCAATTTCCCTTAGTGGGTCCATTGGCTGGCTGGCTTGGCCCTCCTAGAAGCCTGGTTGTTCCATCTCAGGGCCACCAAGCCCTCTCTCCCTGCTTTGCATGGCTTCCCCTAGTGGACCCATTTCCTGCCATTTGTCCCTTGGACTGATCCTACCTTCAAAGGTTGCTTGAGCACAGACTTCCTGAGCATTTGGGCCCTTTGATCCCCCCAGATCCAGGAACAGAGGCCAGCAGAGTCTGGGCAAGGCTGTGGTGGCCACAGGGGGACCAGTTAGTGGCAGGGGTGGCAGGCCATAAATCCCCAGGGAACAAAGGCAGCAGCCAGCCTATGGACGTCCAGGCCCCTTGTAGGCAATCAGCCCAGAAAGCTTGGAGAAGCTCCTTTTGGTCTGGAAATAAACCAGGGGGTGACTTTGGGGTTATATGGTAAATAAAAATGTAATTAAGAGTCCCCAGTGGCACTCAGTTCGGTGAAATGGCCATATCTGGCCATTTAAGGCCAGTTTGCAGAGGCTTCCATACCCACTTGGAGGACTTTGCCTTTGTTCCCCTACCCCCACCCCATCCCCCCATCACCACCAGGCTATGAGGCAGGGAGTCAAGCCTTCCCTCCTACTCAGGGAGCTTCTGGGAGGCTGGGCACTGGGTCCAGGATCCATTCCTCTCCTTGCTCTGTTTCCCATGGTATGGGTATGAAAAGTGGGAGGAAGTTGGAAGCAGCACTCCCGTTTTGACCAGGCCCGGCAAGGCTCCGTCACTATGGCAAGAACCGGATGCATGGGGGGAGGGGATTTTGCAGTGCTGCCTCTATGGTCTCTGATGGAGCATGAGGCCTTTCTGGCTGGCATCCTTCTGACCTCTGCCTTCAGCCCCGTGGCTAGCACACTGCCAGCTAGCCCAGGAGGAACACAGGGCACAAAGGGAAGAGAGTGGGTGCCTGGGGCCATCTCAGAGTGGACTGGAGCTGGGGGCTCAGTCAGGAAGCCCCACCTCTGCGTCTGCAAGTGAAAAGCCCGTGGCAGCACTGGGTCACAGGATTAGATTTACATTCTGTGATGTTCCATCCTAAGAATTCACTGGGCAGCTGGGGCAGCGAGCGATGCGGGTACGGGGAAGAGAGATGCCCACAGGTATGCGCAGGAAGGGACCAGCTGTGCCATGGAAGAGATGCGGCAGGTCTTTGAGCCTGACGTGACTCCTCACACAGCATTTCTGAAGTTCTTTTTCTTCCTTTCTTTCTTGTTTCATCTTTTGGTAATCTTTGATCTCTATGGTTTTGGCCCCGTGCTACATTAAAAGTACATACAATTAACAACAAAAATATACTTGCTTTATTTAGCAATTTTCTAAAAAGCAAAAACAGTCATAAAAAGACACAAGCAGTAAACAAACATATTGCACTGGGTGAAGAAATTTTGGTCTGTGTGTGAACAAACCACGTGAACGGCAAGGCTGACCAAGTCATTACACAGACTCTGAGAGCTTATTTACACGTCTTTTCAGGAATAGATTAAAAAGAAGGCTCAGTTTAAAATCGAGAAAAAGGTTTTATAACCCCTGTGTAAGCACACATACTAAGGGAAACACGTCTTGATACGTGGCACCATGTAAACAATTTCACAAAATGCTCCTATTGTCAACTGCCCAGCACGCGTTAAGCTATGCACTTAACAATCAATGAGCATAGATCATATAATAAAATAACGCTGATGGTAAACATTCATAACCGTGGACAATGTTTTGACAGTTGTGTGTTCAGGTAACATACATATAACCTTGACTAGCATCTAATCCCTTGATGACTGGACCTCAGCGGCAGGGGGCAGGTTTGGAGGCGTCTATTCTCCAACAAATACACAGGCTACCATCTCATTTTGGGCATCTGAAGGTGCTGTCACTTTATAAATAATTTTAAAAACCCACCAGTATTCTTACATTTGAGTTTAAGAAAAATAGG